CCAGGATAGCCCCCTGGCGGAGGAAGCAGGAAGGGGCTTATCCCACCATTCACTCAGTGGTTGGGGAAAGCAGATGCCACTGTGGTGCCCTGGGGTCAGAGGGAGAAATAACCCTCCTCCCTGCCCCCCACCTAAGGGGGCCACGCTGACCGGCTTTTAGCCCTGCACTCTGGAGCTGTGAGAGTGGAGCAACCCTAAGGCGGGTTTCAGCCCCTGTCATGGTGTGAGCCTTTTCATAGTAGAGGTCCACGCTGCAGGCAGGGGGCCCGTGCTGTGGGGCAAGCAAAACTGCCACAGATTGTGTGGGGCAAGAGGTGATGGTGCTAGGAGGGCTTGTGGGGCTATGGCTCCCTCCAAGCCCTGGTGCCACTGTTCACCCTGTGCAGTCCACGGCAGCTCTGATCCCCCACTCACGCCCCCACCCCCTCCTCGGGAAGTGGCTCACACTCCCCAGACATCAGGAGAGGGGCTGCTACCCCATCAGGGGCCTGGCCCCTCACTACTCCAGCAAGAGGGTCAGGGGCCCAGCCAGAGGCCCCTTGGGTAGGAGGGTCATTTCCCTTTCCCTCCAGCATCTGGCGGAGGGGGCAGGAGTGGGCTTATCCTGCTGCTCACCCCATGCAGGGAGTGAGCAGCAGCGGTGGTGCCAGTTGGGGCAGGCAGACCCTGGCTGTAGTCCCTCGGGGCTGTGGGGCTGGAGGGGTCAATAACCCCCCCTCCCTGTCCCCTCTGCCTCAGGGGCCATGCCAGGCATTTGGCTGTGCCCCAGCCCCACAGCTGTAGCAGCGAGTGGGGAACACCAAGTGGACCCCGGCCCAGGTCCATGCCGTTGGGATAGGGAAGGGGGAATTAAACTCCCTCCCTGGCCCAGCCACTCCAAGCTACTGCCAGGGCTGACCATGCTCCCCCAGCACAGGTTCCCTGCAGCCAAGGGCTGCTCTAGCACCCCTCGGCACCTGGCCTGAGACACTTCAGGCATGTGGCTGCATTTTGTGAATGCCTATTCACTTGCAGATTGGTTCAATCTAGGTATGTTAGACTAACCTGCAAAGATTGAATCAATTCAGGCTCCAGCTTTCTGAATGTCTGTCCCTAGTCCTTGAGAACATACCTGGGTTTTTTAACATTTCCATCATCACACAAAAACATCAAAGCTGACTCCGAAGCATCTCCTTGATAACTCATCAGAGGGACTGGTGCCTTCAGTATCCCTAAGTCAAACAAAAATTCAGTACAGGTATCATAAATCTTTTTTACATGATCTGTTTGGATTTTTAAAGAACAGAACATAACTAGTGTGGGCTTCCTGACACAGGGAAGTTCATTCAAATTAAGACAGTATGTGAATTTAAAGAAAAATAGCTTTTGTTAATTCCCTTCCCATATGTGGGCATTTTTGTTGTGGGGGGGGAAAAAAGGTTTTATTCCAAAGTAGCTTTATCTATTTCACATTGTTTAGATGGGGACATTACTGAACAATTACCTAAGGGTGTAAAATAATGTAACTCCAACTAAACACTTGCCCCAAATCTTTTTAAATCCACCTTAGGGCTTGTCTATGCAGGAAGTTATTTTAGAATTACCCTTTTGGATGTTCTCAGTATGCAGTAAGTAAAAGGTAGATTTTTTTTAAAGTGGAGTAAGCTACCTCACATTAAATGGGTGAGTCTACATGTGATACTATGTTGCCATAGTGATGTGGTATGGCAACATAGTGTCCGCAGGTGTCTACACATAACCAGCAGCTACTTCACCGTAACAAGGTCATTGTAAGACAACATGTAGATGTGCCCAATGTGTATTAAAACTGACTACAAATGGAGTTAGTGCAGAAAAGGCACTGCAATGTAAATTTACACTTTAGCTTACTTGGCAACTTCCCTTTGCTGGTAGGTTCTTATATACAGATAAAAAGGGCTTGGGGAGCCAATTAAACTAATATGGAATTAGATATACTTATTCCAGCATAAGAGAATTCATGCAGGGCAGGGGTATCAAACTCAACTGGCCCTGAGGGCTGGAGGGGTGTTACTGGGGCAGTCCCAAGGACCAACCGCTGTGCAGTATCCATGGCACCGGTCCAGCCTGCATATCACATGCAACATGCACGGGCCACCAGGGGCAGCACAGGGTGCACACTGGCTGTGGCATGTGGACTGGATCTGGCTCTGCAGACAGCACGGGGACAGTCCAGGGCCCAAGAGCCAGCATGCAGAGCTTATCTGGTGGGCTGCCACATACAGCACATGCCCCGTGCCAGCCCCCTTTGCTGCCTGCAGTACACAAACTGCATGCAGCATGCATGGGGCTGCGGCTGGCACGTGGGGTCAATCCAGCAACCCATGGACCAGATCACACAGTTCTATAGGCCAAATCTGGCCCGCAGGCCTTATGTTTGACACTCAGGGATTTAAACAGGAATAACAATTCCAGAATGGCTCCTTGCACAGGATCATAGACTAGTAGCCCTAAACTGGATTTAAAAAAATCTGGGGCAAGATGCTCAATTCAAGTCAATGGACGTATGGCAATTTACCATATTTTCTCACAAACAACACATCCCTTTTCACCAAAATCAGCCCCCCAAAATTGGGGTGCATGTATTAAGCATGAAAGCTGTTTTCTTCACTGGAAAAGACACGTGGATGGAAACACTGCTTGCCATGCAGCTGCCAATATGCCTGCTGCTTGTGTCTAGTTTAGCCAGCTAAAGGGGCAGGGTCCTGTGTTAACCATCTCACAGCTGTAGCTATTGGCTGAGCACTGTTGCTTGTGCCAGAAGCAGCAAGGGAGCTGCTGTAAGTATCCTGGTGTCTTGTGATGTAAAGAATACTTTGTTGACAGGAACTTAACTTAAAGGACTACTTACAGTTTAGAACTAATAGTTTTGCTAATATTAATGCAAGGTTCTGGGGCCGGCCTTGTGTGACAGAAAGTAAGCGTTCCTGGGAACACAGAGTGTCCCGGAAGCGTGGTACTCCAGGAGACCATCTAGGTGAGGTGGCAGGCAACAGAAACTTCCTGGTATGGTAAGAAGTTCCTACTGCCTGTTGCCTCACCCAGATGGTCTCCTGGGATGCCAAATTTCCTGGACTTCTATGTTCACAGGAGCACATACTGTCACAGTCAGCCATGACTCCGGAAAAAAAATGTTGTTTCTACACTCTGACTTCCAAAAGCAAGGTTTTATTAGGGGGTTGTGGTGGGTGCATTGTAAGTGAGAAAATATGGTGAACTGATTGATTCTCTGGCCCTTTTAGTCTATACACTACAATACTTCTCATGGCCTTGATCTATTTTAAAAAGTGTTCACTGAAACAGAGCTTGAACCACATCAGCAAATTAAAACTGAGAAAAAACTGCATGCTGTACCTTGCTGAACAGCTTCTTCAATAATCTGTTTAAATAAATTCATGGCTCTCAGGTCTGTTACTATAACAACATATTTCCCCAAGGCCTGCAACATGGCTGCAATAGCAATGGCTCCAGGAGGTCCATCATTCTCTTCAGGTGGTTCATGGTTGAAGTGTGTAGGAAATCCTGTGGTTATGAGCACTGATTGGGCATGTGAAATGGACAGACAAGCCTTTAGCAGCTGGTCCTGACAGAACAAATGTTTCACACCTCGATGTCCTATAAATAATAAAAGCACATTTTTTTGAAGGACAAGGCTAGATTTTTAACATGTTGCTCTCTCCAGGAGATTTTGTCAGAGCCAATCCCTGTCCCTTACTGCCAGGTATCAAGATGATCCAAAATGTGAAGCAGCCAAAAACCCTGCCCCCAGCTCCCTCACTTACTATTTACACGGCAAAAGAGACAGAGAAATGAATGGGGGCTCTCAGCAAAACTCATCACCTCCTGCAAGGTTAGTATAGGAAAAGAATCAGCAATGGATTGAAAAGATATTTTAGCATGTATTAAAGGACCACTGAGGAATTTCAGAAGCAGATGCAATTTCAAACTTAAAATCTCTGTTAAATTCAGTTGCACAATTCAGATTTGATTAAATTAAATCTGTTCAGAAAGATTCAGAGGTCTTTTATCTTGTTATCTATAATGTGGGCACAAAGAAGATGATTGATTTACTGGAGGCTATATAGACAGATGGTACCAGAGCTGGGAATCCAGACCCTGAGACACATTATAACAGAGCTGCAGCATTATCTACAAGAGGAAAAGAGTCTTCAGGACCATGACAGAAGTAGGAGAGAAGGTGGGGGTGGCACTGGGTCAGGGAAAGTGAATACACCTCTATTGGAGCAGACATCCACACAATGGATATTTACCTGCCAGAGAGAGAAGAGGGGTATAAAGTAGCCCAGAAAAAGAAAGAATGACCAAAAATGCAAGGGAAAATGTCAGGAGCACATGATGAGGTATAGTAATCATAGGCATTGCCCTGATGCATCCTGAACATCCTGAGGAAGGAAACACACATACCTCTTACAGGAGATTTGGAGAACTTTCTGGCCAGTCTCAATAAGGGGTGAATCACTGGCCCTTGATTTCTTCCAGCTGTTCTCAGGGGAAAGTACAGAATCACGAGAAAAAAGTGACCATGAAAGTAAGACACACATTGGTACACATATTGTTACAATCCCATGGAGACCCAGAAGAGATGTTGTGATTAAGCACAGGGGCTCTCAGCTTGGCATAACCGATGGTGACACTATGAATGAATGGATGGCTCCAGACCCATCTCCATTGGCTCTGCCCATCCAAAATATTGCCTATGTGGCAGAACAAGACCTTGGGGTGAAACATTCTAGTGCTTGAAAGGATGGATGACAGGAAAGAAAACCAGGTCACAGGGACAGATCTAGGTTCTGATTCCTTGCACAAACTAAAATGGCCCCACAGTATGCCAACCTTTTTATGAGCCACCTGGAAGAAGACTTCCTCAAGAACTGCACCATCAAACCCTTGCTATACCTAAGATACGTCGATGACATCTTCATCATTTGGACTGAGAACCTGCAATCTCTGATTGAGTTCCACCAGAAATTCAACAGTCACCACCCCTCCATCCGACTTTCTTTAGAATACTCCAGCACCAACATCTCCTTTTTAGACACAATGATCAGTATCCAGAAGGGTAAAATACAGACCACAGTATACAAGAAACCCACAGACCAACATACATATCTGCACAGAACCAGCAATCACCCCAAACACACCAAAAAAGCTGTGATATACAGCCAAGCCCTCAGATACCACCACATTTGTACTGAAGACAACACCCGGGATTGCCACCTCACCAATCTTAAAAAGGCTTTCACCCAGCAAGGACACTCCTCCAGAGAGGTAGATCGCACGTTTGAAAGAGCCACCTGGATACCACGTGAAGAACTGCTGCAGTACAGAAGAAAAACACCCACAAATAGCACACCGCTGGTTATGACGTATCACCCATCCCTTGAACCTGTACGGAAAATCCTCAAAAAATTGCAACCCATATTAGAAAGAGA